ACAGTGTGTATTGACCCATACAGTGTGTATTGACCCATACAGTGTGTATTGTTCCATATAGTGTGTATTGTTCCATACACAGTGTGTATTGACCCATACAGTGTGTATTGACCCATACAGTGTGTATTGTTCCATACATAAGGTGTATTGATCAATACATAGTGTGTATTGATCCATACAGTGTGTGTATTGTTTTATACATAGTGTGTATTGTTCCATACACAGTGTGTATTGACCCATACAGTGTGTATTGACCCATACAGTGTGTATTGTTCCATACAAAGTGAGTATTGATTGGTTCCATACAGATACATGGATTATTGCACCCCTAACAATCAGGGTCCGGTTCAGACTAATTAACCCAAACAATAGCGTTGTTATTCTCACTATAGACAAAAAAAACTGAACAAATTATTTCTAAAAAGTCATCAGATTCTGAGGTCAGACTGCGTACCTGGCAGATACTCCCTCTTGAGCGGCAGCCTCCCCCAGAACCTCCACCTTCAGGTAGTACAGCATCCGTACCCTCAGCAAGACCCTGAGATGAGAGAGGACAAAACCAGAAGTTTTTAAACTACTGTCAGACGTCAGAGGACAGAGCTGTAAACCAATGTTGATTTCAGTTAATTTGAGCTGATAAACGGACTTGTTGCAGTGCTGTTTGAGGTGCTTCTTGTAGCTCTCGTCCTGCAGAACCACCTCGGGGTTACAGTGGACCAGCCAGTCGGCGTTCTTCACGTCAGGAATGTTCAGCTGGTTCTTCAGCTTCTTGCCCTTCCTGCCACGAGGAACCGGAGCGGACAAACCTGCGCAGAAACCCAGAGGACGTTCATGTTCCTGACGTCACGGCAGAGTTTTCCTTCTCTAAAGGCGATGGAATAAAAGCCTGACCAGAGTGATTGAGCAGCGCCTGGTCCTGCCCGTCTTTAGAGGGTGCGATCAGGTCCCAGATGAAGCACTTGATCTTATCGTCACCTTTGTAGTGTTTCAGGCAGTAAACCAGCAGAGCCCTGCAGGGAGAACATCAAGTGCATAGAAACATCTGTTTCTATACTCGAAACAGCACAAACAGCCATTTCAATGGCACAAACCTGCTCAAACAAAGCACTACAAAATTCGACAAGTTTGTTTCATTTTTGGCTCATTTTGGAGCAATGGTGACCACTGAATGACCCTTACAAATAATCGTTAATATATAAAAATAATAATAATAAATATGGGAATATATCTAGTTTTTACATGTTACTTGCACTCCAACTACTTCTACAAAATGTATGCTATTCTATCAAAACAGTCAGCTCATTCAGGAGTTTATTTTTTAGCTTTTAATGCTGCTTTTAGCTTCTAGCAAGCCATTTTATACCTATTTATTCAATAAAACAGAAAAGAAAATCTATTTACTATAAACTATAAAACAAAAACTCATAAATGATAAAGAAATGAAGCAGAAATACCCCTTTTTATTATAGCTCTAAGCTAGCCATTTGCTTATTTTAGCTTTTAATTAGCCTTTTTGATCATTTTAGAATAACTTAATGCTACTCTTAGGTTTTATATTCTTGGTAGCCTTTTACTTCTTTTAGCATGTTTGCTGCCTTTAGCTAGCCTTTTGATACTTTTAGATTTTAGCCAACCTTTGGCTGTTTTCAGCTTTTAGTTATTATTTGGGTTTTACCTCCATCAGCTAGTGTTCTGTTTAGCTTTAATGATTCAATAAATTTTAATGAACTCCTTCAGTGCTCAGAATATCAGTGTTGTATTTTCTTGTTTAGTTTTTACGTTCAAACCTCCTCCACGCCGTCGTGAAGACGTTCAGACTCTTACCTGCAGATCACCTCCATGTCCCGCTCCGTCAGGTGCCATTTGAAGCGACCGTGGTTTAGGATGTCCTTCCACCGACCCCACCTGGAAACAAAGATTCTCACTTGAATCCAACTCTCCCATCAGCCAGGTAAACATTCTCAAAGAGTTTAAGGTCCTAACCCAAAGATCAGGAGGTTCTTTTCGACCCGGAAGCACTCGGCGCGCAGGTAGCGCCGGCTGCGTTCGCCCAGGCGGCGGGTCCTGCAGGGCCTGTCCTCCGAGTCGCTGTCCAGCTCTGAGAACTCCATCAGCTCGTCGTCCTCGAAGGAGTTGTAGTGACGGGTCTGCTTCCTGACGCGGGGCGTGTCGATCACCAGGGACTCCTGAGAGACAGAACACAGGTTCAGACCAAGCTTATTATAGTTTTGGGTTTTTCATTATTGTTTAGTTTTATTTCGTTGTGACTTTTTTTTCTTTTAATTCAGTTAGTTTTAATTAATTTTTACAGTGGATTTGATCGTTTTTATTACCGTATTTATTTGTGTATATGATCTCCTGTATAATACGACCCCCCCCCACTTTTGAGCGTAAAAAGCATAAACAATTTAATCCTCAAACTACCTCCATTTTCATCCAGACTTGAAGATTTTTCAGCCTTTGCAGTCTTTATACATATCAGTAAAATGATCATTGGACTGTTCATTTTATTTTAACAACATATGTACTAAAAGGTATTTTGACAACAAATTTATATCAGCTGTAGCAGCATCATATGAATTCTGGCATTTTACACATAGTCCACCAGGAGGCGCCAACACAAAAGTCAGAGACTTCACATGAGATTTGGACCATCTTGTGGGGGAAAAGCAGATTACTTCCTACTCACAAGTGCCCCCTCTGGTGGGGAAACTTTTTACAGGGATTCAAACTTTTTCAGAACACCGGTAGACGGCAGCCATTACAGACGAACATGTTTGTTGTTGTTCGAGGAGCGGCTCGGTCACACACTAATGTCATTAGTTTGTTATCATTACTGAGGTCCAGGACTGCTTTTCCCCCCTTTTTTTCACATCGTGTCGCCTGTTTGGATCTGTTATTATCTCGCTCTGAAGCACAGAGGAGTGTCAGAGGTGAGCTCATTTCAATTGAGTTTTACAACGCGGTCTCATTTCGAGACTCAATAATTTTGCCGATATTTAAGTTAAAATACATAAGTAAAAATATTTATCTGAGTATAATACTACCCCCACCAACTTTATGGATGATTTTATGGATTAAATTTTACATATTATACTTGAATAAATACGGTAGTTTTGTAAAAAGATTATACAGTTTTAGTTATCGTTTCTTCATTTTATTACAGTTTGTATTTATCTTAGTTAACTAAAAAGTTTTTTCAAATTCAGTTTTCGTTATTTAGTTAGTTTTAGTGAACTATAATAACCCTGGCTTAGACAATAAAAAAAGAAACACAGTTGCACCTTCTCTGATCTGGAGTCGATCTCCACTTCAGCAATTTTGGCCCATTTCTGCCAGAAGTTCGGGTCGTCCAGTGAAATGTCTGTTCTGTTACCAGACGAGACGAAGCTGGCCTGAAAAAAAAAGATAATTTTTTTAAAGCCAGCTGTGTTTTCAGCGCAGAAACTTAAGAGGCTGAAGGATTCCCACCTTTGCGAAGGTGGAGCCCTTCCCCTCGGACTGGATGGTGATGGTCTGCGTTCGTCTCTGCAGTATCTGATCGATGTCTTCCTCACAGAACTTTGAACCCTCGTCTTCTTCGTCCATCAGCGCTCCGTACGCTCCCTTCTTCAACAAATCCTCCACCTCCAGCTTGGAGAGCTGCTGCACCTGCGGCACGAGACAAACGTTTAGAGCTCGTAACGCAGGCGTAACCTTTTAACACGAAGAGCTGAAGGTTTTTACCCCGTTCAGACTTCCTTTGCGGTTGATGTCTTGAAGGACGGCTTTGTCCAACCCGAGCTTCAGGCTGGCTTTGTCGAACATTTCCCTCTCGTACGAGTTCCTGGTGATCAGTCTGTAGACTTTGACAGCTTTGCTCTGACCGATCCGATGGCAGCGAGCCTGAGCCTGCAGAGGGACGAACACAGACAGAACATCCAGACCAGATCAAACAGGAAGTCAGATTAAAGAGACTTCCAGGTGTAAAAGGATCATAAAACCAAACCAGATCCAACCTGCAGGTCATTCTGAGGGTTCCAGTCTGAGTCAAAGATGATGCAGGTGTCGGCGGCCGTCAGATTGATCCCCAGTCCTCCGGCTCTGGTGCACAGCAGAAACACGAACCGGTCCGAGTCCGGCTTACAGAAGCGGTCGATGGCCGCCTGCCGCAGGTTCCCCCGCACGCGACCGTCGATGCGTTCGTACGTGTAGCTAAAAATCAAAAACAATAGGGGTTTAACCTCTTAAGCCCCAAGGGTTCTCTTGATGTTTTGCTCAAAGTACCATGCTGAAATGTAACTGAGTGTTTCTCAGCATTTATATACTCTACTTAAATAATCTTTTGAGGATAGAACAGAATTTTTTTTAAAAATTTCCCTCCAGTCTGAATAATGTTTTCATTAGACAGTATATAACATATATAAACCATAATAAATCAGGCTAAAAACTCTTGGAAACATAAATCCACCTGTGAACATCACCTGTACAAACATTCATGCTGCTAAAATTAACTGGAGCAAAGTTACAGAGGTTTTAATAAAGAAATCATTTAGTGTTTTGTCATTTTAAACAGGACAGACCATGATGGTTCCATTAATAAATGTGAAGAAATCTGAAGTTTTTATTTGCAAAAGTTATTTATTTTACCTGCATTAAAAGACTTGTTATTAAATGTTTATACGTTTGAAAAATGATCCAAACATTTATTTGTCACCATATATATTATATAAAATAATGAGAAATTATATTTGACTTCAGCTGGATCA